ACAAAAAAAATGCTGATCGTAGATTATCGGGATCTGCGGTCAGGATCGGACACCGCATGTAGAAATGCATGCGGTATCCGTATGCAATAATTTCTCCTGACGTGGGGGGCTAAATATTTTATTTTATTTTGCTAATTTTTTAATTTAAAGTAAAATATATTTAAATTGTTAAAAATAAATAAACTTAATTTTAAAAATACTATTAAACCATTTTTAACTATTTTAATTCTTCTCGTTAACTACTTTATTTTAGGGCCCTTTAAGGTCATAGCAACCGAACTCTTTATATATTTACATGTCTAACACAAATTTTAGTTCTTACAAAACAAAATAGACATTTCCATGCAAGAATTCGGTGGCATGCAAGTAAAAATTGAAATCTAAATGTTAAATATAGGGGTGTGAACGAATCGAACACGAACGAGTTGTATTCGATTTTTTAAAAATGTATTAAAAAAAAAGCCCATCTAATTCGTGTTCGATAACCAAATGAAAAAAAATGTTCACGTTCGTCTCGTTTACTTATCGAACGAATCGAACACGAACTCATTGACGAACCGAACACGAACTGTTCACGAACAATGAGCTTTTTTTGAATCTAGCGGGTATGTATGTACATCTTTCTTTACTTTTTTTTCAAATAAAAAAATAAAATATATTAAAAAAAATACATTAAACAAACATCTAACAGACAAAATAAAACAGGAAGTCTCCATACACCCCTTTGAAAAAGAAAAAAAAAATGAAATCATTTTTTTGAAAAAAAGAAAGGAATTTATGAATATTGATGGTCAACTAGTTCCAGATACATATATCCAACTAATCACAAAAGATTATACTAAGATGAAACAATATTCTGGACTAGACCTAACAAACAAAATTAAAAACAAAAACAAAAATTTCCTGTAACCCCAAAAAGATTGAGCAGCAACACTAATTCTGTATATAGGCAAAAATATGCAACCAAAGCTATGGAGAAGAAAAATGCAAAGCAGAAAAGAGAGAGAGAGAGGCATCTAAAGGTCAAACAGATGAGGTTCCAGTGGCAGTTACCAACCCTTCCAAGGCTGAGAATTCTGAGATTCCTGAAGCATCAATGAAGGCTCTGACGGAGAGCTCCGGCACTGACGTATTTGGCTCCAGCAACATCGATCCATGGTCGATGAAGACGACGATGACGGTGATGTCGTCGTGGAAAAAACGGCGTATTCCCTTTTCAAGCTTCTTCAGATCCGAATACCGCATTTCCCTCTTCTTCGCCGCCACATCCAATGCTGATCTGACGAGCCTCCTCGCAATGCCCTGAAACAATCCCTTCATGTCAATATCATCATCATCCGTTCGATATGTCGTAAATACATAGGAATTGAACATGAATATACATGAATACATACCGGTCTGGGAAATTTGGAGACAATTTCGACGGCCTGTTGATTGGTCAACTGCTCCCAAAGTCCATCGGAGGCAAAGATTACAAATTTATCCTGGGGGTTCAGGACTCTGCTGTAAACGGCTGGTTCGGCACTTAGAACAGATCTGCGGAGTGGTTCTGATAGCTGGAAACGTGGGAAGGACGAGTCAACTTTGATTTCGGGTCTCTTTAAATATGCATCACCTATAGATCTTGAAATCTGCAGAAACAAGAAACAGCAGGTGGGGTCAAGGACAATTTCATAAATGACATCCAAATCTTGACTATTTACAATTGCAACCTCCTATCTTTACAATCATGTCCTGAAAAATAAAAATAAGGCATTTACATACATACCACCCAGTTCTTTATGTATCTACATAACTAACACTTAAAACTTTGATTTTTAATACAAATCTTTCATGTCACGTCAAAGGTGCCGCTATTTTAACTTTTAAAAAGTGAAATAAAAATTTTCATCATGTCACGTCAAAGGTGCCGCTATTTTAACTTTTTAAAAAGTGAAATAAAAATTTTCATCCACAAGTGCCATAAATGTAAAAATTGAACTTTGAAATGAAAGAATAAAAGGAAAACTAACCTGTATGATGCCTTTGATTCTCCAAACCCCATGTTTCATTACCACAATCTGAGGATCATCCGGGTGAAGGGATCTGAGTTCATGTCTAACTTCCTCCATAGAGGCATTATGATCACGAGTCAATTGCTCTGCGATTATGCTATTGGATCTGCTTAAACAACCAATCACGGCTCTCGAATCTCCCAAATTAGCAACATATAATGTGCCTCTCCAAATTACTCCCACCAAACAGCACGATCCAACGGTGGCCATTGATGGTTTCAGTTGCCTTGTTCTTCGTACAAGTGCCAGAAATCCATCCTCAGTTGCAGAGAAAGCATTTCTAATTATATCCTCCGAAACTGTGCCGCTCTCTCGAGCAATCCCTGGAGAGATTGATTGTAGAGGTTTAATGGGTGAAGTTTGTGAAATAATTGTTGTTAATCAAAGGGGGAAATCATAATATTTTAGAAGGCAGGGATAAGAATTCAATCGGTTGGGATGGATTAGTTTTCAAATTGGTCAAACCGATTGCAATTGAAATCTGAAATCCAAAAAACCGAACCAATTAAAATCTTGATAAAATTGAACTGACCAAACCAAAAGCTAATTAGGTTTAAAGAGTTCCGATATAAACAAACTGATTTACTTGTTAGTTGGAGTCCTGCTATGAACAAACATCAAGAGTTACATATCTTACATGTATCATATCGATTTAATTTCATGAATTCTTCATTTGATTTTGAATTTTAGTTTTCAGTTTGTTCAATCAAATGAAAACAAAAACCGGTTAACATAACATCAAATCGAATATTGAGGTATTAAAAAACAAAAACTGAGATGTATTTTTGAAATCGAACCAAATCAACCAAATTTGTTTGGTTAAATTGGGTTCATTTTGGTTTTGACCAAATAATGACGATCCTAGTAGAAGCTGGGAGATGACGGTATTTTGCTGATTGGTTAAATCAGTAGTATGTTGAATAGATCTCATTCTTTCTTCTTGCATTGGAAACAAATTATCACAAGGTAACAGAAGTTCTATATTTGATATTGGGTGCAGAAAAGAGGAAACATTAGATATTGATAAAGAAGGTGAGCAAAAAATATTAAGAATTATAAGTTTAAAAGCTCAGAATGATATTCAAGTTCATATTCAGCAACAAATGGCTACTGGCATCAGTGAAATGCAAAGATTAATTGTAAAACATAAAGATTTTATAAAGAAAGTGCAATAACCAGTCCAATTCAGTTTCTGCGAAGGCATGTTAGTCCTCTACCGCAATTTTAATACATGATCATGGACATCCCAATGATGGTACGATTTAGCCAGAGTGATGTAAGTAATCAGCAAAATATTTCGTGCTACTACTGATGTTATTTTAGTCGCTTTGAAAGATTTCGTGACCCAATTGCAGATTCTCATAGTCAAGCCTCACCAAATAAGGTTATTCAGCTAGAACTTACAGGTTCACAGATCCAATCTTTTATGAAATTTACACCGACAAGTCAAAAAATTATCTCATGCCACTGTCATGATAGAAACGAGTTTTAGCTGTTTCTCTTCTTGTGTATGAAATATGATTAAAACTTGCAAGCTCTTCATTTTCTTCAAAATACAATTTTTATGGCACCTAATCCGATTCAATCTCCTATTTGATATTTGGTACATCAGTTCTTTTTTCAAGCATGTATAACTGGGATGTTGTACGTTTCACCAATGTGAGCAAATATTGCTACAAAACTGTCGTGTAATCCGAAAAATCATTGAGGCAGAGTTATTTTCTATTTATATTCCTACAAGGCAAAAGTAATACAATAGTTCACTGTAATAAGTAACAAAAAGAATTTCCATTAGTATTAAATTTGACTCCAACAGTCTAAGAAGAATACTAAAAAACTTAAAAAACATAAGTCTTATCAAAATACTTAATCATGATAGTAATTACCAATAAACTTCTGAAAAAAGAAGAAATGTATTTACTAAATACAAGGACATCAGTATAAATTATATAAAACAGATTTCATTGCTCAATAATCTCAGGTGGCCAACACCCTTCTATAGAGCTTTGATGAAGTTGTCGGCATGTAATCTTAATGAAATGATAGTTTTTTCCTTGTAACCTTGTTCTAGCCAAGGTCTTGTGCAGCTTTCCATCTTTCCATGTGTTAGCCTTTGGTGTAGCCCTAAATATAACCGTAGGGCTTGTATCGGATCACTTTAATCTTTTGTTTTTTGTTTTTGCTTATATTTTAAAAAAATGTTTCTTCTTTAGTACATTTTTTGCATGTTTTATCTTTCGTTTAGTTTCTTTAGTACATTTTTTGCATGTTTTATCTTTCGTTTTCAAAAACAATTTAGTTGGTTTTTAAAAACCTTCAAAATATCTAAAAATTATTTTGAGTTTTTTTAAAAACAACTAAACATGATATATAACATACCAAAATATTTTGATGAAAGAAAATAAAAATAAAAAACAAAAACTAAAAGTATTCCCAAACGGCCCCTCAACTTTTGATGTAATCAGCTCACATTGGTGTAATTGGAGAAATTACAAAAACCCTAACCTTCACTTGGTCGTCTAGAGACCTCCTGAATCAAATGACCACCAAATAATAATGCATTCAACATGCAAGCAGCACAGGTAATTGCCAGGATATGGGCATGATTAAAAATAATAATTTGATTTTTGACATTTTTTTGTGTCTCTTACAGTTAGGAGGTAGCCATTGAAATGATTTCTCCTCATTTATATAGCATCATGCTATCACATAGGCATGAAGATAGTTATGGCTCAAATAAAAATGCTTCCAAAGCACCTATAGATGCCATATAGAAAAGAAATATACAAACAATACCACCCACGCCTGACTGAATGCTGAAAATTTCAGTCAAGCAAATTGCAGCAACAGCATCATTTCCCAGGACAAAATTTGTTCTACTACACACTAAATTACGATCAACTGTTGTTTTATCAAACTAGCTAAAGAAAACGCAGCAGATTCTTTTATATCATGTAGATTTCTCGCAATCAAAAAGGGCACAGAAAAATAAAAAAATGCGTCCGTCTCTGTGCTCAAGAAGGCGCCAATCATCAAAACACATCCGCCAAACAGAAAGAAAGAGAAAGCATACAATCATTTAACTTATGATTCATTGCCACAATCTGCTAAACTTACTAATGAAATGGAGAAAGAGGTGATCCGCGATGAATCGAGCGGCCTCGGGGCCACCATGGCCATCGTATACACCGACAAAGGTGCCCATCGGCCCCGTCTCAACCTGGCTATGGTCCTCGATGCGTTCATTAGCCTGCACGACCGCAAATGAGAATTCCCCCGCCGAATGCTCCCCAATGTCCCTGCACGACCGAACATGCACATCCGCCCGCCGAATGCTCCCCATTGTCCTGCGACCAGAAAAGAGCGTCGTCCGCTTCCTCATCCTTGTTCATACGCACGTACCTCCGGACCGGGGCCAAGCACGCCAACGCAGTTCTCCCCAGCCATGAAAACATCCCTCATTTCCTCACGGCGGAGCCCTAGTGGTTCTCTCGGACCAAGACCGCCGGAAAAAGCCACTTCGCTTCCCACGATCGATCCAGGAAGTTGAAGAAACAGCCAGCAAGCTATCCGAAAGATGGTAACTAAGGTTCCGGCAACAGATTGTAGATCGAAATTAGGGCTCAGAGAGAAGAGCGAGATGAGAAAGTGGAGAGCAGCGGAGCAAGAGCGTTTCTTGCGGAGGAACCCAACTGCAAGATGCGCTTTACATTAATTTATAAGCGCGTTTTTACGAAATGGACACTGTTTCTCATAATATTTACAGAAGTTCCGCTTCCAAAAACAGAAAAATGAGAAAGAGTTAATAAGGGAGAGAAATTTGAAAGGGATAGTTATTTTATTTTGTGCCAGATTATTTTCAAAAATAAATATTTATTAACTCTTAGAAAGATGAAGTTTTAAAATATAGAATTTAAATGTATGAACTTAAAAAAAATATTCTACTTTAATAAATGGGTTATGAATATTATTATAAAAATGTCATTTTAATAATTAAGATTCAAATGAGTCATATTAAAAAAATCTATATAGCTAGACATTCTTGTTTCTCGAAAAATTTTCATATTAAACGTATAAATCATTATATTTAAAAACCCAAAATCCTAAATTCTAAACCCTAAACCCAAAAAACCCTAAAACATACACACTCAAAACCCTAAACTTTAAACCCTAAAAAACCTCTCTACCTAAACCGTAAACCCAAAAACCCTAAACCCTAAAACCCCTAAAACCCTAAATCCAAAACCCTAGAAACCCTGAACCCAAAACCCCAACCCTAAATCCAAAACCCTAGAAACCCTGAACCCTAAACCCAAAACCCAAAACCCTTAAAACCCTAAACCCTAAACCATAAACCCTAAAAATCTTAAACTCTAAACCCTAAACCATAAAACCTAAACCTTAAACACTAAAACTCTAAACACTAAAACCCTAAACTCTAAACCCTCAAAACCCATCAAAGTCTAGACCCTAAACCCTAAAAAACCCTAAACCCTAAGTCCTAAACCCTAAACCCTGAACATTGAACCCGAAAAACCCTAAACCTTAAACCCTACAAAAACCCTCTACCTAAACACTAAACTCTAAACCCTAAACACTAAACCCTAAAACCCTAAACCTTAAGCCTTAAACCCAACCTTAAAAACCTTAATCCCTAAACCCTAAACCTTAAACCCTAAAAACCATAAACCCTAAACCCTAAAATGCCTAAAAACCCTAAACCCTAAACCCTAAAAATCCTAAACCCTAAACCCTAAACCCTAAAACCATAAACCCTAAACCCTGAACCCTCAAACAATAAACCCTGAACCTTAAAAACCATAAACCCTAAACCCTAAAATGCCTAAAAACCCTAAACCCTAAACCCTAAAAATCCTAAACCCTAAACCCTAAACCCTAAACCCTAAACCCTAAACCCTAAACCCTAAACCCTAAACCCTAAACCCTAAACCCTAAACCCTAAACCCTAAACCCTAAACCAAAAATCCTAAACCCTAAACCCTAAACCCTAAAAACTCTTAAACCTAAACCTCAAAAATCCTAAACCCTAAACTCTAAACCCTAAAACCCAAAAAGCCTAAACCCTAAACCCCAAACCCTAAAGCAGAAACACTAAAAACCCTATACCCTAAACTCTAAAAACCCTAAACCCTAAAACCCTAAACCCTAAACCCTAAACCCTAAATCATAAATCTTAACCCTAAACCCTCAAACCCTAAACCCTAAATCCAAAACCCTTAAAACCAAAACCCTAAACCCAAAACTCTAAAACCTAAACCATAAACACTAAACCCTAAACCCTAAAAGCCTTAAACCCTAAACCCTAAACCCTAAAACCATAAACCCTAAACCCTAAACCCTGAACCCTCAAACAATAAACCCTGAACCTTAAAAACCATAAACCCTAAACCCTAAAATGCCTAAAAACCCTAAACCCTAAACCCTAAAAATCCTAAACCCTAAACCCTAAACCCTAAACCCTAAAAACTCTTAAACCTAAACCTCAAAAATCCTAAACCCTAAACTCTAAACCCTAAAACCCAAAACCATAAACCCTAAACCATAAAACCCTAAACCCTAAACCCTAAACCCTAAACCCTAAAACCCAAAACCTTAAATAAAACACCCTAAAAACCCTAAACCCTAAACCCTAAACCCTAAATAATAAACCCTAAACCCTAGACCCTAAAAACCCAAAACCCTTAACCCTAAACCCTAAACCCAAAACCCTTAAAACCCTAAATAACAAACCCTAAACCCTAAACCCAAAACCAATAAAATCCTAAACCCCTAAAAACATTAAACCCTAAACCTAAAACCCATCAAAGTCTAGACCCTAAACCCTAAAAAACCCTAAACCCTAAGTCCTAAACCCTAAACCCTGAACACTGAACCCGAAAAACCCTAAACCTTAAACCCTACAAAAACCCTCTACCTAAACACTAAACTCTAAACCCTAAACACTAAACCCTAAAACCCTAAACCTTAAGCCTTAAACCCAACCTTAAAAACCTTAATCCCTAAACCCTAAACCTTAAACCCTAAAAACCATAAACCCTAAACCCTAAACCATAAAGCCCTAAACCATAAACCCTAAAAATCCTAAACCCTAAACGCAAAACCATAAACCCTAAAACCTACACCCTAAGAATTCTAAACCATAAACCTTAAACCCTAAACCCTAAACCTTAAAAACCTTAAACCCTAAACCCTAAACCCAAACCTTAATCCTTAAACCCTAACCCTTACAACATAAGCCCTAAACACTAAATCGTAAATGTTAAACCCTAAACCCTAGACACTAAATCCTAAAATCCAAAACCCTAAACCCTAAAAACCTTAAACCCTGAACCCTATACTCTAAAAACCCTAAACCCAAACGTTAAACCCAAAACACTAAACCCAAAACCCTAAACCAAAAACCCTAAGAACCTTAAACCTAAAACCCTAACCTCTAAACCCTAAACCCTAAAATCCTTCAAAACTAAACCCTCTAAAATCCTTCAAAACTAAACCAATCCTTCAAAACTAAACCCTAAACCCTAAAACCAAAAAGCCCTAAACCATAAATGCTAAACCTTAAACCAAAAACAGGAAACGCTAAAGACCCTGAACCCTAAACCTAAAACCCTAAAACCCTAAGCTCTAATCCCTAAACCCTAAACCCTAAACCCGAAACTCTAAACCCTTATATCATAAACCCTAATCGCAAAACGCTAACCTTAAACCCTAAACCATAAAACCTAAAAGCCCTAAACTCTAAACCTAAACATTAAAAAATCGTAAACCCTAAACCCTAAAACCTAAACCTAAACCCTAAAACACTATACCCTAAACCTTAAACTTTAAACCATAAACTATAAACCCTAAACTCTAAATCCTAAACCCTAAAACCTTAAAACCCTAAACCATAAATCCTAAACCCTAAACCCTAAACCGTAAATATTAAACTCTAAAAACCCTAAACCCTAAAACTTAAATAGTAAAACCCTAAACCCTAAAGCTTAATCTCGAAAGCTTAAACCCTAAACCCTGAAACGCTGAATCCTAAACCCTAAAAACTCTAAACCTTAAACCCTAAAAACCATAAATCATAAGCTCTAAACCCTAAAATCCTAAACCCTAAACCCTAAAATCTAAAACACTAAACTCTAAACCCAAAACCCTAAAACCTAAACCCTAAACCCAACCCTAAACCGCAAAACTTAAGCCCTAAAATCTAAACCCTCAAAACCCTAAACCCTAAACCTTAAAACATAAACCCAAAACCCTAAAAAACTTGAACCCTAAACCCCAAGCCCTAAAAACCCTGATCCCTAAAAACACCAATCCCCAAAAACCCTAAACCCTAAAACCATAAAGCCTAAAAACCCCAAATCCTAATCTCCAAACCCTAAACCCAAAACCCCAAACCCTAAACCCTAAACAAAAAACCATAAACCTTAACCCTAAACTCTAAACCTAACCTTAAACCCTAAACCCTAAACCTTCTTTATCGAAGTGCAACAAACTTTAATTATTCTTTCATGAATAAGCACCCCATTTTGAGATCACCTCGCTCCCCTCAACAACTAATCACATGAATTTTCCTATTATATCTTATTTTCTTCCTCTCGCACTAGATATCGCCTTCCTTTTAGTTTTAAGAAAGGTGAGTCCCAGGCATTGCAAAGAACCACCAGCCCAGTTTTAAGAAAGGTGAGTCCCAGGCATTGCAAAGAGCCACTTTCCATGGTATGCATCGAAGTCCCCTTGTATAATTCCATTGTGCCTATGAACTGACCCGTAATTTTGTAGTTATTTAGTTTCCAAGCCAAAAACTTGACCTGGTTTCTTTAGTCGGCTAGTGTGTAAAATGCATATGTTATAGAATTTAGAATTTAATTTATATTTCACACACTATGAGTTTTACGCAAGTGCAGTGTCGTTTCAAGTAATATAGGGTTTTCGTTAAAACCTAAAGTATCGATCTCACAGAGAAGCGAGGCAAGAAACCCCTTAGACTAATTCTAGTCTGCTACTATCATATCTTAGTTTGGAATGTCAATAATGGGTATTTTTTTAACAACTACTCCTAAATACTAACCCAAATCTAAAGATAAACCTCACTAAAAAAATTAGTTTTAAGAATTTTGAGAAGTAAAAACTATCTTTCTCTTGTGATGTCCTAGATAAGGTGGAGGAATGAAATGCTTAGAAATTAATGTAGTTGGTGACTAAGTTAGCCTTGATTTCCAACTATAGATCAAATTGGTAATAATCTAGCATGTCGCCCTAGAAACATCAATTTACACCCAAACATTGCATTTCCGCCTAAACTACTTTGCCATAGTCAATCGGACAATGTGAGTGCACTCAAGTTGTGAAGTCATCGCTCTTCTAAGTCTTAGTCTCAACTTACAACAAATTTTAACATAATATATGGTCAGTACGTTATGTCAATGAAGCAACAAAAATATTACTCATCACAAAGAAATTAAAATTAATCTATCATAAAATAAATTTTCTCACTTATGCCACTACTTCATAACAAGAGGAAAGAGTAAGGAAAACTACTTACTAAGCATGGAGAAAACACAACAGAAAATTTCATTTAAATCAGAGCAAATCTACTAGATAAGTGTTTACAACAATTATAATATAATGAAGAACACAATACTTTGTTTTTTTCTCTCTGAAAGATATATGAAAATCCCTTCAACAAAGTCTCATGTTGATCCATGCAATGCTAATATAATTCCTTTCAGATATCTCTCAAATTCCCATATTCATTCTATCTAAAAAAAGTAAAAAAACTACATTTTCTACTCCTATCTACCACCTCTAGGCCCCCCCTATCTACCGCCTCTAGGTATTCCTGACGATTTCAAGAGTTTAAAATGTGAAAATGTGCCTTTTCAAGTGCCAAAATCCCCCTAATAACTCCTTGGGGCGTTTAGAAATCGTCTGGGGCAGTTTTTGGCGCCTAGGGGTCGTCTTTCTATTTTCTGGACGGGGACAAGCGCCTAAGCGCCACTCTGCTGGCAGCATCCCGTTTGCTCCTATTTTCCTCTGTTTTGAACTATTTCAGCTCCAATTCGCTCCAAGTGTCATACCTACAAGATAAAAATGAAAATAATATTTATTTAAAATGTAATTTCATTCAAAAATATGTGATATATGTAAATTAAATTAAGTATAAAAAAAGACATCAAAACCTGCCATGTCAAAAAAAATTTCTTGTTTCATTTGACTCCAATCATTTTTGCTTCATTTTCTCCAAAACTCCATCTCTTGTGCCTGAAACCAAAAACACGCAAAATACCTTCCATTAAAGTATAATATCATTAAAAATGAGCATAAAATATATATAAAAAAGTAAAAAAAATTTAGGTGTATTCACCTACCCTCTCTTCTGAAAACCTTAACCTTAAACAACCTCCTCGTACTTTTAAAAAAATAGCCAGTCCATCCTCTTTATTCGTTGATCGAACAAACACCCATTTCTTTAGTACTTACGAAACAATTATCATTGCCTCCTCCCTCAAGTAAACAACAATGAAATTACAGTCTTTTTTCTCCTCTTCCTCTATATTCCTCTTATATACTCTTATAATAAATATAATCGAGTATATAATATTTAATGAACAGTTAGTCTCATTTTATTTTTTTAAAGATTCATCTTTATTTACTTATAACTTATATTTCTAATATTTTTTTTATTCAAGCATAATATTTTTATTTTATATTTAATTGTGATAACTCGTATTTGTATATAATTATTATTGGCATACTACTAATAATGATTTGTTTGTACAGTATAAAATCTGCACAATATTATTGTTATGTATCAAAAGATTTGCGGTGGAAAAGTGATATTTGATTTCTAGCGTTATATGAAGATCCAAAACAGACACACACAGATAATAGAAAAAGTAGCAGGAAGAGACAAATATTTTTTTACGTAGAAAACCCTTAAAAAGAAAAGAAAAATCAGGAAGCCTAACCCAGTCAAAATAGTGCATTATGTAATTGTAAGTACATAGGTTTACCCTTCTCCTGAATTAGAGAGATGGAATTACAAAGTTGATAATCACAGATGTAAAATAGTAATGTAGTTATAATATTCATAAATGGGCTACAATAAATGTGGTCAATTATAATAGTAATAGTCGATGGCTTCAATAATGTCAATTGGCCACAAAGGCCGTAGGCGGTGACTATAGTAGCGAAAGTTAGCCACAAAATCATAATTGGAAGCTAAAATAGTGTCATTTAGCCACACTGGTCATGATTAATGACTACAATAGTATCACTTGGTCATAAATGTTGTAGTTGGAAGTTGTATTAGTGTCAGTTGGCCACATAGGTTATAAATGATGCTACAATATCATTAGTTGGTCATAGAGGTCGTATTTGGTGATTGTAATAGCGTCAGTTGGTCATAGAGGTCATAGTTGAAATTTATAATAGCTTCAGTCAGTCATGGAGGCCATAGTCGATGATTATAATATTGTTAGAGGCCATATAGGTCGTAATTGGTGGTTGCAATAGCATTAGTTGAGCATAGAGGTCGTAGTTGGTGGTTGCAATATCATTAGTTGGTCACATAGACCGTAGTTGGAAGTTATGATAGTGTCAATTAGCCATAAAAGGCAATAGTTGGTGATTGCAACCCTTCTCTCAAGAAGATGGGGTTATAAGTTTATACTGCATTTATCTTAATACATTACCGCTTTAATTAAGCAATTGTTATTATGAGTTATCATTGAATCTTCAATATGGTGTTACTCATTTACATTGTATTTATGATATATTGTTACACCGTATTTTGGATACGCCATTACACTGTATTCGAGAAACATCATTAGTTAGTATAATTCACCAACGATAGCGTTAGAGGCAATCAGCAGATGGTGGTCGATGGTAGTTGGCGGGTATAGAGGTTAGAATTTATCGCAGGGACTTTTATACAATGTTATTAATTACACTCCATTTGGTATATGTTGTTACACTGTATTTGAGGTACGTTGTTAACTAACAAATTTTGTCAACAATGACGAGCAGAGGTGGCTGTCAATCAGTGGTCAACTGTGGTCGACAGCTATTGAGGTCAAAAGTTATCATTAGGATATTTATATAGTGTTATTAATTACACCATATTTGTGATCAATCGTTACATCGTATTCGAGATATGTCATTACACCGTTATTGCGATACGTTGTTACACCATATTTGGGCTGCGGTGGTCTAGTATGTTCGGTGGTTGATGGTTAGCAGCCACAGAGGGTGGAAGTTATTTTTGGGAGTTTAATACGAAGTTATTCATCACACGTTATTTTAGATACATCATTACATTGTATTATGGATGCATCATTATATCATATTTGAGATATGGTGTTATACTTAGTATACATCATTAGCTAGCATAGTTTGCCGATAGCAGTAGGAAATCATGATCAAAAGGTTAACATATCAACATATAACATCTAAAGCACAGAAAAATGTTTACGAAGAACTAAGTGATCAAAACATCAATTCAACACATCTAGATCACATGAGTATGAAAGAAGTTTTAGCTGTTATGCATGAGAAAATAAAACACACAATTTCATTGAAAATATATTTTATTAGTGTCCCAACACTTACTAATTTGTTACCTAAACTTCACCATACAAATGAGCCATAGCTTTACCAATTCTGATCTTATCACCAACTCTTTTGACACCATCGATGATGTCGACACTACCCTCATCATCATCCTCATTTTAATAAAGAAAAAAAAAGTTGAAAAGAATACTACTACTAAGTTTTAAATTAATTTTGCTTCCAATAAAACGGAAACAAAAATATTAATTTTAGTTGCAATATGTCATATAACTTCAAATGTATTATTTTTAATTTATAGCACATGTAAAATACACCTATATTTTAAATATTCACTATCAAATAGCCACTTAGCACACAACAACACATTTAGTGGGAGTTTTTTTAGTTTTTGGGCACTATTGATAAAACAACTAATGTAAAAGCTATTAAATTTATATAAATATACCATAAAGCCAATACTTTGGCAGGTTCATGAGAATGTCCATTGAAGTTTATGCTATCAAAATGTACATTATTTTAATAAATTAGTTTGCGTTAAAAACAAGTTTAAATTTAAAAAAAAACAATTATAATGGCTGCAAGGATTGTGGCTCAGAAACAATACAAGAGTACTGTGTACATACAATTAACCTCATGCTATCAGCATGATTAATTTTATAACATACAGAAGATAAATAATTAAGTATATGTTCAAACAAATAGTGCAGAAAATAAGCGGCAGAATATCAATTTAGGACTGATTTTTTGTTATTTTATTTTAATTATAAAAAGCAAAATCATTCGAATGTAATTAACAGTGTATACCTTCAATCTTCGACTCACCGAGTTGACCGAGTTCTAAGTACCAAGTTTCAAGAGCCAAGTTGGCCGACTTCCAAGGGTCAAGTTTCGGAAGCCGAGTTTCGAGGGCAAAGTTGATCTGAGTTATAAGATCCTAGTTCCATCGAACGAATTTCTTAGGCCGAGATCAAAAAATGAAGTTCCAAGGGACGAGTTCTCACTCTCAGGACATACATTCCATACAGCTACATGAAACAGAATGATTTAATCTCAAAGAGTTGCACAACCTTACAAGCTCAAAGTCACCCGAGCATTAATGCCTAGCACATTTCTATATATTTTTTATTAAATTTTTATCAAATCTTACACCTAAGGAAATAACACAAAGGGTGGACTTCCTAATGAGAGCTCCAGGGCCTCAATTGAAGAACCTCCCCCTTTCTTGGAGGACCTTACAAGTCTCTTCTCCTTCCTCACTCTCTCTATCAATCCCTCCTGAACACTTTTAATCAAATTTTAAAAATTATTTCTATAGATAAATCCTAAAACCTATGTAAGCAATAATCTCAACTTAAAACAACCAAATAAATCTAAAGCTTTCAAAACACAAAAATAGAAGTAGTCTCAGAGCTCAAAATACAAAATTGTCAAAGGTGTACTCTGAAAATCAACCCACCAAGAAGCACCACTACTAAACCATGAACTAATAACACCCTCATTCAAGCGCATTCCATTGACCCATCTATCCACGAGCCTGAAGCCGAAATCCGATGCAGCGGAGACGATTGAATCCTCATCAACTCGTCGTTCAATGTGGCAAAGAATAAGACAAGGTTTTGACTCACCATCATCTTTTTTCAGAATAAGTTCTTTGGAAGTAAAAAACAGAGGAGAAATAGCTTCAGGGCTGTAAGAAACATCTGTACCAATAATAACCTCAAAGCCTCCATTAAAGCAATCAAGCTCCTTAATGACCTCCAGATCTTGTTTTCTTCCCCATATTAACTTTCTGATAGCTATTTTTTCAAGTAAACTTTGCTGAAGGTTTGAAGAAATGTTCTCTCTGAGCAGTTGGAGAGCTTCAGAATCACCATCAGTGGAGACTACAGATTCAGCAAATTGAGCAGAGATCATGGAACAGATACCAGCGGAGCCGCAACCGAGTTCCAGGACCCGTTTTCCGGCGACAATCAAAGGGTTTTCCGATATTAAATTGGACATGAGAAGAGCAGATTCCCATAGCATAAGGCCTGTAGAGTGGCAGGTATGTTGGTGTTCTCTGGAAAGTCCTTTAATCCTGAAGCTGTAGCCTCTTGTTCTGACAATGGTGATCTATATATAAAAAGAGGGAAGTCATGTAAGAAGCAGGAAGCACAGAGAGACTTGAGACATACTTTAAGAAGCAAAATCAACACTGTTTCAGATACATACAATGCAAGGTACTAACACAAATTATTTAAAAAGTAAGATGGGCTTATAATAACTTTTACATATTGTAAACAAACATTTAAATAAACATCAAAGCAAGTAGGAACCATGAGATTTATGATTTATAATAGATTTAGAAAGAAAACACACAAAAAATGGGTTCGTTTGGGATCACTTTTTGTTTCAAGTCTTATTTTAAAAACATGTTTATTTAGTGCTTGTTTTCGCATATTTTTATTTTTGTTTTCAAAAAAAGAATATTAGTTTGTTTTTAAAAACACTCAAAATAATTTTTAAAAATACTCAAAACATCCAATAATTATTAAAAATTATTTAATGTATTTTTAGAAACAACTAAAAATGTTTATCATACCGAACATATTTTATTTCTAGTAAAAATATTAACAAAGTAAAATAAAAATAAAAAATGAAAACAAACAGCCCCTTAGTAATCCTAGAAGCATATTAATGTGGGAGTTGTTCTCCACAATCCCCCTTCCGCAAGACAAGTGGGATTCTGCCATTGATCCTCATTTACGTTGAATTGCGAGATAGGCAAGATTCCTCCCCATTCTGAACCGAAGAAGAAAATTCTTGCCCATTTGCTGCCGCTAATTCTTGTGGGCCCTAAATTTCCTTTGTTTCTGAACCAATGTCAGAAAGGAGTATCAGCTCTCAACAAAGGAGGGAGAAATGTTGGTGATTCTACAAGTCCTTCGGGCTGAGCACATGAGAGAGCAACCGTGGCTTCCCATCTTTGTTACCCGTTACACCATGAAGAGAAATGTGTAGCTTTAGCATTGAAAATGTGGTGTCTACCAAAATGATCAACGGGTTGAATCTAACCACACGGAAGCGCATTCAACCTTATTCTTTATCTTGGTTAATGAAAAAAAATATCATGGTTGACAAGAGATGCCTTGTAGAGTTTTTTTATTAGAGAAAAGTTTCAAAAATAAGTGAAGTGTTATGTGGTACCTATGAATGCTTATCATATTCTATTAGACCATCCTTAATAGTGTGATCGTTCCACACATCATGATGGTTGCAAGAACATACATTCTTTCACCAAAGATGGGAAGCGTATCATACTCTTGCCATGGAAGAAGTCTGAGGTAATGGGTGCTCACTAAATCTGTGAATATATTGCCATGAACTATCTTTTTTGTAAAACTTAGGAGAAGCACCAACAAGATTAGCATTGATTGTCATAGAAGGCGGTGAATTCAAGAAGGCGCAACCAGAAACAAGGCAGCCCCTGCTAAAAGGGTGGTTTTAGGATTTTCTAACTTAAAGTCTACCTCCTAGGTTGCCACCACTAATAGAGGTTCAGTGTGTTATCACTTCATATAGAGATGAGAAGTTTTTTTGTTATTTTTGGAAGGTTTTATGGTGTAAGTTAGGTCCTACGTCCCGATTCAAATTAGCAGTGCACACTTAGCCAAATAGGCATGGTGAACCACAATTTAGAAATTCCATTAAATGTTTTGCAGGAAAAAACAACAAGTTGTGGGATTTGGGTGCTTCCAGTGAAGAAAAAAGTCTCTCCCATCAAATGAGAATGATGCGGGACCTGTTTTACGCGATACTCCGCAAGCCCACTTAAGCGAGACAAGCAGGCAATCCAAATTTACGTGGAATCACGGGACGGCCAAGATTTTGCCCCGTTTTGAACCAAACAAGAAATTCTTGCATATTTACTGTCGCCGATCATTGTGGGCCCTGCATTTCTTTTATTTTTGAATTAGAATTAGAGATATATTGGCTTGAGACTTGTATATATTGTTAGTTCCTATTTTTTATGACGTTTATTTTGTTTTGCATATTTTGGAGAATGTTTCTCTAATTTCTACCTTAAAAACTGATTTATCATTTTTTTTCGCAAGTTGTGCCATACTAGAGTTAACCCAAACAATAATAGAAAAGCAAATATGATTACCGAGAGCAAAAATGTGATTACAACCAAACACATTTGAAAGGGAAATACAACAACAAACACAAATAAACACAACTAAATTGTAGCCAAAGGTGGTGGTCAGATTTGGTTAGTAGACGGCAAGAGGAGGGTGGCGAGGCGGTGGATGGCTGTAGGAGGAAGGGGAAGTTGCGGTTGGCTGGGTTGGAAAAAAGTGGAGTTTAGCTGGCTGAAATCAGCGCAAAAACAGTAGCAAGTAATCAGCCACTTGCTGTCCCAGGCCACTGTAAGGAAGTGGGCTGGACTGCGGGAAGAACCGCCGGAAGTGTTGTTCCGGGCAGTGTCAGCAAGGGAGGGGCAGCTGGGTACTTAATTATCAATTAAAAAGTATTAATATTAATCCAAAAGTAAAGCATGACAATGTAACGATCAATATCTAGGTATTTAACTATGCATCATATTTCATTTAAGAAAATCTTAAAACTGCCTATAAAAATACTCTGAATTTATTTTGAACAGGCGACCATATAGAAACACAGTAGACTTATTAATATCATCATAACATGCTCAATATGAAAAATTATCCACTCGCATACATATAGCAGGTCAATGGAGTGGTAGAAATTAACATATTTTAGGCCTATATCTAAATTATTCCCCATATTAGAGATCAAGCATCTCACTGCTAGGGAAATTTTAACATTTCTCTCTACATGAAGTTTCATTTCTTCATAAACAGACTAATAAGTAATAACAACATTTTTTTCAATTGAAAACTAATTCTTAACAATACAAATTAATTTCATATAACTTCAAAATAATATTTTTACCTCAATAATTCCCCGAGTCCCACAACTCAAGGCCAAACAAACTCGTGGAGGAAAATACAAAAAACTGAATTTCTTACCAAGAACTCTAGCTTTCCTCTACTTTTCTTATTATCCACCTCAACTTATTATTTCCTTATTCTTCCCTTCGGCCCAACTTTTACCGCAGCCTCTCTATTTCATTTTCTGAATACTTACGTGAATAAAGAAGTAAAAAATGCTCAGGCTATTATTTGTATAAATAATAATTATTTAGAAAATATTTTCTTCAAATCCAAAATCATCTGTAATTTAAAGCCTCGTCCAGAGGAAAAATAAAACTGCTACAATACAATAAAATAAAACTTATGTGAACATTGGTAAATAAATAAATTAGAAAAATATCTTATAAAACCTAATACACACAAATACATTAAAATTTTAAATAAATTTTAATCTTACCCTTTTTTTGCCTTTTTGGGTATTACAATTGATGGCTTATCACAAAATTTTTCAGGCTAATTGAGCAAAAGAAAATCATAGAAATTGATTAAAAAAATCACTCAACCATCAAAAAGAATAGCAGTCATTAGCTACATTCATTGACCCATCCAAGTATGCTAATCTCCAGTTTCATCTCATTGAGAAAATGTTGGTGGACCATCAATTTGAAATATTTTTATTTATAATTTTTTTCTGCCAAGGAAAAGAGCATGATGCTCAAAAAGAATTAAAAAATCCAATACTTCAAACCTACACAGATTTACATATTTAGATTGTTCCAGAAAAGCAGAAATTTTGTAATTTTATCCTTCAACAAAAGAAACGCAAAGCTAGCAAATGGAATGCATAGGCAGCAAGTACTAAAGATGATTAATAGGAAGGAGCATTTACATAGCACACATTTTTTATGTATTAACATATCCCACACCTAAACTTTTATATTATAGCACTCAAATCCTTAACATCACATCAAAAATAACATTATTCTCACTTTTTAAAAGTGAAATACATCTTTTCATGCAAAGGCTTAAAGCACCAAAGTATGAGTTTCAATTCGGGTCAACGGATCAAACTCGAATAGGTCTAACCTGAACCCAACCCGAATATTATACAGATCGAAAACCCCAATCCAAACCCGACCTGCCTGCAACCAACGAACTTGAAACCATAAAATTGGTTCAATTTTGAGTCAATTTCAGGTCAATTCAGAGTTGACGGGTTAATTTCAAGTCAATTTAAGGTTGGCGGGTCAACCCAAACTCGACCCAAAAAATAAACAGCTTAGGATATCTAACCTGAACTGGATTTTCGAGTCGGTTTCGGGTCAAGTTGGCATGTCAGAACTTTTGACAACCCTACACCAAAGTGCTACACATGTAAATATGGAGATTTAGGTGTGAGACATGTAGATACATAAGAATTGTGTGCAATATATGTAAATTTCAGTAGAAAAAAGAATGTACAAGTAATAGAGACTGAAAAGAAGCACCTCATTCAATGATGGATCAGAATCAAACATTTCAACAATGCTCTCAGACACATCAACCTCATTATCAATTGTGGGATCTTTAAAAGAATTAATCAGATCAATCCTTCCGTCGGCTTGTTCGACTTCAAAATTTCTTGCTGAGCCCCTATTATTCTCAGAAGTTTGAGAAAACACTGCCTGGATCCAGCGCCTGCAACAAAAAGAACCAGATCAGCTCAAAGAAAAGCATAAAAATCATGAAGATCATATACTTAGCAAAACATAGATAACTTTATGCCAAGCTTATAAGAACAGTTGAATGTAGAAAATTTTAGAGATTAATTTTTCAATTTTTTATTAAATTAATAATGTTCATCAAAATTGAAATATAGATTATTTCTTTCGGAAGTAAAATTTATCGTTTTGGAATACTACAACCATAAATGATAAAAAGACTTACAAATTCACATAAAAACCGTAAATTTTCTCTGCAAAACAAGTGCTATACGGTTTTTTTTTTATTTTCTAAATAAAATTACGTTGTAAAAATAAAAGAGCTTGCTGTGAGTAATATAAAACTGTCTTATACAAAATCCATCCACAGCATAAAGTACTTCAGATAATAGAATATATTCCAAAACAAATTCTTCAGAAATACCAATACGCACCACGTCATACTGATACAAAATCAGCAAAAATGTGAGAACACTTTACTATTGACAATCAACAAGAAACGATAACAAAATATAAAAAATCAGGCTTCTAAATTTTTTTTTTTCAAGCATTAGCAATACTTTAAGGGAAAGCAACCAGATCATGTAAATCTGCAGATATGTCATTGCACTAGATCTCGTGTACCGATTTGTGTATTTTTCAATTATTAATCCAGAAATGCAGGCATGGGAGCATAAATTTAAAACATAGGAGTGCATGAAATCCATCTTACCTATAGAACCAAGTTTTTTGACATTAGGACAAGAAAGTTATGATCATGGAAGGACCTTTATTTATTGAGAGAAGTGTCAAAATAACACCGACACTTTATAGGGTGTCAAAATAGTCCTAAAATCTATAGAAGTTCTAATTTAGTCCCAGACTCTATTAAGAGAGCAAAAATAGACCTCCCATTGGACTATTTCAGCCCATATTAAAAGAGTATGGAGACGATTTTGACACTTTTACTACCTCTGGAACTAAAATGACCCTATATAAGGAGTCAGGAGACTATTTTGACTCTTTACTCTTTATTTATTCATTGATGTGACATGTAGCACAACAATGTCAACCAGCAGAGGAATTATTGTACAAATAAGTGAGCAAACATTCTCTCAAGGAGAACAACTACTAGCAGCTAAATGTGTTTCTACTAATAGATAGAATAGATTAATGAATTGGACTAGTTATGAAGTGGTGCCTCGTTGTTTGATACTGGAGTTAACCAAAACAACAATAATGAAGAAAACATTATTACCGAAAAGAAAATTGGCGGTTATAACCGCACACACTTAAGAAAGAAAAGTACAACAAACAACACACACAGACGTCAACGAGGGTGGATGTTGGTAGACATTAGGGGTTTGGAAAGGTGGCAGCAAGGTGGAGGAAGAGCTGGACGGTCAGTAACCAGCAGCACAATAATGGTGGCTTGCTGCCCTGGGCCGCAGCACGCAGGAAAGAGCGGAAACAGCAAGAGGCAGCACCTTGCTGTCTGGGTGTCTGCAGGAAGGTAAGAGGGTGGGCAGCAAGGAAAGGCGGGTCAAACAGCAGCAGTTAGTTGTTTAGGGGTAGCAGCAGCAAGGTAGAGGGGCTTTGGGGTGGCTGTGAGGGTTGACGGCTGATAGAAATGGCTGGAACAGAAAGGAAAAGGCAATAGCAAGTGGTAGGGACAGCTAGGGATACTGGACCGGTTAAGGACAGCAACTCCTCATTGCTTGGATGGCGGCAGCAGAGCGAAACACAGATGGAAGGAGTGGAAGATAAGAAAACTGCAAGGAAACAACAGTAGGTAGCTGTTCGTGGGTGGTTGCAGCAATGGAGGGAGGCCGGAAGCGATGTGAGGAGGATGCGGAAGGGGATAGGGAATATCATCACCACCTCGGGTATGAGAAACAGCCGTAGTACCACCCAAACCCCCGGATACAGCCCTCAAAGGGAGAACACGGATGCCGATGGCTGTCCTAAACAAAACACAAGAAAAAACTGACTTCTAAACTTTATTACAACATGTATATATAAGAAATTACTAAAAAAGAATGAAGGATAATAAAAAATAAAGTATAAGAAAGAAAAACATGATTATTTCAGCACATCTCCCATGATAACTATTCTCGCAGCACTGTAGTGGATACAGTGCCACGGTGATATGTTGCGGTAAGTTCCTGCGTCATTGTTGCAAAAAGATAATATAAGAATACACTCTTGTGCTAGAAAAGGTGACACCTCTTCATCACTAAATCCTTTGATCGATTCTCAACTTCCTTGTAGCAAACGCTAATATCTTTGACATAAAATCCACTTTCTTTGAACAAATTTGTCAAGAAATCTTCAGAAAAATAATATGCCCTCTGCACAGGAAGGAAAAAAAAACTATCAAACAAAAATATTCTTAACAGAATAAAAATAGGCTGAAGTGACTTACAGTGCCATCACCCCTGACATAAAAATTTTCGCTAATCTGTTGTTCCTTGCAAGTTAGCCTTTCCTAGTGATGGTAAATGATCGTCAAGAACAAAAGTGTAAGGAAAATTTTAAAATAATTAGACAAAAAATGATATAAAAAATGTACATCTAACAAAACATGTGTCACTGTATTCACAAAAAATAAATAAAACATGCCACTATATAGTAAGATTATAATGCAAAATATGAAATTAAGCTGTCAAGAAAAAAAGCAAACTTCCATATTACTATTCATGTTAAAAATATTATTGTTTAGAAAGAAACATAATCAGAAAGGCCCATACTTTAAGTGTTATGTTTTTCAAATAAAAAGAAAAAAAGAGAAAAAAAAAACCCGACATATTTAATGATAGCGCAAATACTTCAGGAGCGCAGGTGTGTCAGGTCATGAACTTAGAAATGGTGTCAACATGGCACTTGTTGCCTCACTTCTATTTCTCTTTGAGGTAAATTGAAACATAAAGTTCAATCAATATGTGGGATAAAATGAAACAAATGACTTTAATATCACATAATGATTAGTTTAGTAAGCTGGGTACTGGAATGAAAACAAAACCAAGTATAGCTCAAGTCAAGGCGAACTCATGATGGACTAGGTACTGCCAGCTAAGCTCTTGAGTCAATTGATTCAATTCCGAGCCGAGGGATTGAGCTCCACTCAAACTATTTTTGATGAGCCTGCATGAGCTCATAAAACAGCCCAAGTGCATGAGGAGTGGATGTTGAGGTCCGCACCTAGTTCGAGCAATTGAGGTGACGGTGTATAAAACCACAGTGAAAATGAAGATCCAATATAGTGGAACCTAGATTTAAAATTGCACAATTGGGTATTAAGGTGTTTTTCGTTTGTGAGGCGAGCAAGCCTCAAATTAAAAAAAATATGCGTAAACTAATAAAATATGCATAAACTATAAATGTGAAATAAGAAATAACATATTAATAGTCTGACTTATTAATAAATTAAAAAGTAGCATAAAAATATTTTAACCAAGTAAAAAAATAATAAATTACATAAAATTAGTAGTAAAACGTTAACATCCTAACATCAAATTATGAAATAAAATAAGTTGGATAAACATTAAATTATTAAATTAAGCTAAAATATTAAAATAAAATACTAAAACAGCAAAATATAACAATTAAAATAAGTTCAACGTAAGCCTTTCTACAACTCAAACTACCTCCCACTTAAACAAAAATATAACAATTTATTAACATTAAATTTTTAAATTTAAAAGTCCACTATTCTCAGCACATAATTGATTTCTATTAGAATCTTTACATGAATTGTTTATCTCACATTTTACCCTTAGTCGTATGTATATTCTCTCATTTCAAATTATTTTTAATCTCAGTTATTTTCTACATTTTAATAAATAAACATCAATAAAAATATTAATTAAAATAATAACTATATTAATAGTTAGAACTCCAACTACATAAACTTTTATGGATATCTTTTCTCTTTTATTTCTTGTTATTTAGAATATGAGATGTGATGATTAATAGGAGAGGTACATTGATATTTTTTTTTATTTTGTTAAGAAAATTGTTGCTAGCATCAAAATTTTGAGGTGAGGTGAGGTGAGGTGAGGCGAGCCTCAAGGCGAGCCTCAACCTAGGTAATGAGATGTACGCCTCATCCTAGTACAATAAGGTGTAAGTCTTGATTTTTTTTTTTTTTAAATTGCTGAGGTGGGACTAAGATTCACAATTTTAAATGAGTGGAACAATGCATCCAACAACAACAACCATCATTGATTCGACACTTTCAATTGAACTTAATAGGAAAAAAATCATTTGTTCAGTAGAAAGAGGACAGGAATATGATGACACATAGGAGAGTACAGGAACGGGAATGCGTGATCAAAAGAACATAAAGAGATAAAAAGGAATGTGATTGAGATTACATATTTTTTTAATGTGTTCATATAACAACATAAACTTTTTCAAAAACGCATTAAATTGTTATTTGTTTTATAGTCAGAGTTGATCTGACAAGCCAAGCCTTAAAAAACTTAAATTCCTATAAGACATATGAGCTCATTAACAAGCTATGATGAAGCTAGCACAACCTACCTACACTTCACCTAGTACTAAAGGAGAAAAGAAAAACAAAATGGTAGGAAGAGAACGAAAGTATCAAGACTTCAATTGTGTTAGATATATTACAAATGAAGATAGCAAGATCTTAATTAAAAGAAAGACAAAATAAAAAGATGAAAATGTTATTTTGAGAAATTTATTAAATAAGGATTTTAAAAAATAAACTGTTCTAAGAACAAAAGACATCATATATGTTAGAAATTGACAAAAAAAAAATGAAGTAGAGTTAGGTTTGAAGATCATATGACTAAAATTTTAGTTTATACAGTATACTGTTTTTAAGATTTGGTAAGGCATGCAAGCAATTATGGTCTGAGTGATTGCCAAATGATTGGGAATACTTCGGCACCAGTATTACACAAAGAATAAAATGTGTATAAATATTATAATTACAAGAGAATCAACAAATGAATCATATAATCAAACTATGTTGATATCAAAGAATTAATTTGATTATAGGACTCTACTATGGTGACTTTCCTACTAAGATAATAATTGATATAAAAAAGCAATAAATTAAAGAAACTTTTACGTTTTTTCTTTTTTTATTATCTTAAAAAGGCATATGATTGATTTCCTAAAGAATTGATTTGTTGCATATAGAGGAGAACAGTTGTGTGACAAGAACATGCTAAAGCTATTACGAATATTTCTAAAAAAGCAGTGATTGGCATTAAATGTAACTATTAACTAGCAAAAGAGTTTCCAGATTAAGTTAATATCATTTTTATCAGTTATGGAGATCAGTGAGGTATCTTAATGTATGGTAGGTAATAGCATAATTTTGATATAGATAAGATATCTTGTTAAGTAATGGACAAGCTTGAATATGGAGGAAACTTTTAGAAGTAAAGAGTTTAAGCCTGTGAGAAAAAAGAAGGTTGAGTCTATAATATATAATTTATAAAATATGAAAGGGATAATTATCAGTCAATGTTTTTCACAGATCAAGCAATACCAAGATATGCAGGTTTTGATACCTAGATCGATAATACCAAAAAATGGATGTAAATGAGAATAATTTAGATGTAAAACTGAGTAGCTAAAATAAAGAAATGCCTCAACAGTGCTGTGTAATGAGCTAATATCAAAAGTAAATTTAATAAGAACAACATTAGAATATTTATGCCATATGTACCTATATGATATAAAACAAACAAGTTATTAAAAGCTAAATTCTATGTAGTGAAAAGGACTGAAAAAAATTTATATCATAGAAACGACAAGCATTTCACTTTTGAAGATAAGAACACGTAGATAGGCCAAGATTATTTGGAAAAGTTCAAAAGAGGACAAAATTGTTCCAACAAAGAAGGAAGATGGAAGCATTGTTCAAGGACTAAAAGGAAGAAAAAAGATAGACCAAAGGCAACACGTCTGGAAACTAGTTCAGATATTTACACAAATTAGAGTTAACACAACCTCAAGCACAAGGAATGATAGAAATAGAAGGAAAAACCCCAAAAAATTGCTAAAAAGGCCAATGGTGTTATGATTGCAACCTCTAGGTTCAAAGCATCTTTTTTTTTACCATCACAAAAATTTGCAAGAGAACCTAACTTGTGATGAAGGCAACCTAGTAGCAAGAATTTCAGTTCTATTCTAGCACAGCAGTTCAACAAGCAATTTTTTTTTTTTTTTACAAGGCTTGGCATATAGCACAAAAACAACAACAACAACAAAAAAGCCTTGATCCCATTAAGTGGGGCGGCTACATGAATCCTTTTTCTCCATTGTGTCCTATTTAGTGCCCATTGTGTCCTATTTAGTGCTAAATTAAGATCATTTTTTATCATGTTAACTATTGTATTTATTTTGTAAGATCATTTTTTATACAACAAGCCCAAGACTTCCTAAGTCTACCTCTGTCTTTCTTAACATAAGTTGAATCTAAAACATATATAAAACATATATAATCATCAGATGGCTGACGTTTAATGTGACCAAACCATCTAAGACGACTCTCTCTAATTTTGTCCGTCACTGGAACTACACTAACCCTATCACGGATATAATCATTTCGCATTTTGTCTCTAAGTGTAAAGCCACTCATCCATCTAAACATTCTCATCTCGGCAACACTTAACTTAATATTATGCTTCTCTTTTAAAGGCCAACATTCAGAGCCATAGAGCATTGCAGTTCTCACCACCATCTTATAAAATTTTTCTTTCAGTCTAAGCGATAATTTTCTATCACGCAATAAGCACGAAGTATTCCTCCACTTCAACCAACCAACTTGAATTCTACTATTAACATCCCCGTCATATCACCATCGCTTTGAACAATAGACCCGAGATACTTAAATCGATCACACTAATTAATAATTTAATCGCCCAAAGTTACACTTCAGTCACTAGAGCTACAACTACTAAAGTTATATTCAATGTATTCAATTTTAGTTCACTCAAATGAAGGCCTTTAGACTCCAATGTAGACCTCCATAATTCAAGTTTTTCTGGGGCTTTTTCTCTCATCTTATCCACAAGAAGGATATCATCAGCAAAAAGCATACATCAAGTTACATTCTCCTGTAAATGTCCAGTAAGACCATCCATAACTAAAGCAAAAATATATGGGCTTAAAGCCGATCCCTGGTGTAATATAACAGAAATAGGAAAATATTTAGTCAATCCTCCTTTAGTTCGAACACAAGTAACAGCTCTAGTGTACATATTTTTAATGATCTATATATTAAAAAAAATATTGAACCAGCTATAAAGCAAGAATATTGAACTGGCTAGAGTCAATTAGTGTTGTCACGCAAGAATGACAAAGACATGTTTATAGGAAGAGGCAGAAGGAGAAGCGAAGATGAATAGAGCAAAGAAAGCAAGTGAGCGAGAGAAAAAAAAAAGGAGCACGATAGGTTCAAGTGGGCAATGACAAGAAGGCTTGAGCGTTGAATCAATAGTGGACTTAAGCTAGGGCGACGACGAGTGAAGTGTCTGTATCGAGCTGCGATGTTGAGCCCGTGCAGTGAGTGCGGGCTCCATGCGGAAATAAAAATGCAAGCTTAAGCGAGAGGATGATCAACAACAATATGGACAATGAGCGTTGATTTGAGCATACAAGCTAGAGAAAGGGGATCGAACCAATAGCAAATGACCTCAAGCAGAAGGCAGACAGTGACACCAAGTATGTTGCGATGTTGGGTGCAAACCTAATGCAAGAGTAATGTGAGTCCATGCAGAAACAAGCGGGTCTCGATGGAAGTGAAATTTAGTAGAGGTTTAACTGTGAAGACCAGTACTATGTTATCTATAGAGTGATTTGAGAAAGCAATCAAAACTAATGAAGAGAACAAAAAAATTGTGCTTTACTCGATCAAACAGTAAAACAAAATTTACATATTTGAGAAAGTTTTATTTAAAATTGTATGTTATCACTAAGACTATATTTATTAAAAAACAAGTGTTGGCAAATCTTAAATTATTTTTTACTCAGAAAAATATTAAAGCTCTAGATTGAACTATATAAGTTATAATATTATAAACTTAATAAAATTTTTAAATAATATTATTGAAATAATAAATGTATACTAAAAACTAAAAAAATTATTAAATTACAACCTAAATATTTAATAAAATAGGCATTAAAATTTAAAATAATATATATATAGAAAAGATATATAATTCTAGAAAAGTTTTGAAAAATTCATTAATGTAAATATTAAATATTTAAATTTAATATTTGA